TTTTTTCAGCAACGGCTCGTCACTGTGGTCAGAGAATAGCTCGAACCGATGATGTGACCAGCGGTTGGCTCGTATCGCCGGGTTATCCCATCAAATACAACAAGGATTTGATATGCGACTGGGAAATCACCGTGCGGCCAAACCATCAGGTACGTAGTGGACTTGAGAACAACTGGTCAGCCAGGAAGTGAAAAACTAAGAAAGCAGTGAAAAGCAACAATGATGATACCATTCCAGATATTACTACATTTGGTGAAAATGGAAGTGGAAGGCGCTATCACTGCGGACTCAGTGAACTGTCAGAATGCAGTGATTCGAGTGGATGCGGATCGAGGGGTTGGAGCGGGCCCCGAGGTGCAGGAAATTTGCGGCACCGATGAGAGTGTCATACAGCCCATTGTCTCGAAGAATAACATTGTTCGCATAAGGTATATTAACTTTTAGGCAGCAAAAACTTTGCATAATAAAGAGCGGGTAAAGTATCAAATGGGGTTTATGAGAGTTGTCTCAGATGTTTCAAAGTGACAGTTTACGAAGATGGGCGCTAAAATCCTAAGAATTTTGGAATATAGGGGAGCTAGATAGGCCATGACTTTTCCAGTCATAAGAATTAGTTTTTATTCTGAAAGCTCATGATTTTATATCAGTTTTATGTACCATTTCAGAAAACTGTCACTTTCGCCATTTTACTTACATAAGAGAAATAAGGACTTACGGAAGTTTTATTTCAGGTTCTTCACGTCCCCCGACAAAGTAAATGGCTTAAAGGGGTTCAATTTCACATGGACAGAAGTGAAAGTAACGCGTGGTGAGGAATTTTCGTGAAGTGTCTGGGCAAAATATATGCCATAAATGCTTTGTTTTAAGTAAAGTATGATGAAGTTGTTGTGATCTAAAAGTGGCGCCGTTCGAATCGAGATGGTGTGGCTCAGCGCATTTTAGTTGGAATTTGACATCTTGAAATGGCTAAAACTTTGTTAAAATTTGTTCGTATCGGGAGAACCGCTGAGTTAGCAATTCCTTCAGGATACGAAATGAATGCCAGGATCGCCATCCGGCTGACCGCACCAGACGATGCAGCATTGGACAAAGCAACTGGAAGATGCCAGTTGCATCATTAGAGAAGCACGCCATGAACTGCAGCTAATCAAAGTGTAAAGTACGTATCCGGCAATACACCTGGTTTCAGAAAAAATTTTACCTGCCCTTTCAGTGCTTCCTTCTTAAGCTTTCCAAGCAAGTTATTGAAGGGCTTCTTACTGGTGGTTAGTTGTTGTTTGTAAAATCCATAGCCTGAGAAAGCCTGGTCTTTTTTTGCGGGAGTGAAATGCAATTTTAGTTTTCTCATTGGCGTCTAATTAGGAATTCTGCTCCCCTTCATTCTCGGTTTTTTATGCGTTTTGTGCTATGTAACAGCAGTACAAAACGCACATTGTTACGGGGTTGTCTGTGTGTGTGTCCGCAGCAACTTGTCCGCAACTTTCAACTCGGGAACCA